AGATCTTTCCTCAATCTTTGACGGCTTTGGTTACATTTATTAAACAGTTTACAAGCATGAAAACTTGCCAATCAACTGTTGTTATTGTTATAAACAGCCTCCTGGTGCTTCGGAGCTCATTAACTGTTTAATAATTGTAAACAAAGCCGCCAAAGATTGAGAAAAGAAGTACAGATTCGTAAGTGTTTGCGTAAGTGCTTTCGTGAATCTGGCCCCTGGTGGCTGGCTCCAGGCCGGCAGCCTCCACATCTGGAGAAGTTACTGAAGTGTTTGGGCAAATAGAATGTAAAATATTTCGTAAAACTGGTGCTACTGCCTTTCTAGTATGATGGTTAATGGTTTCTTCAGTCGGTTAATACATTTATTCGTAATTTATTTTATTTTATTAAATTTATTCTTCCTCCGGTTCTTAGACACATATACACACAGGTGAGAGGCACACACACACACACACACACACACACACACACACACACACACACACACACACACACACACACACACACACACACACACACACACACACACACACACACACACACACACACACACACACACACACACACACACACACACACACACACACACACACACACACACACACACACACACACAGGCAATAAACCTCTCCATTGTTTTTTAACAATATAATTCTCACACATTATCATATGCTAACCATATTTATGTTTCCATGACCAAGTTAACTGCATGCGCCCAAAAATGAATAATGACATTACAAAATATACCGACCAAAGATATTATCTTAGATAAATGTTGGTTTTACCGCAACGATCCAATAGATTATAACAATACCCAATAAGGATATTGTCAGCTAATCATTATTCCGCAATTACGCAAAATACTTTCACGATATGTGTGTTGTGATGGTAGGAAAGAGTCCCTCAGCCTTGGTATATATATATATATATATATATATATATATATATATATATATATATATATATATATATATATATATATATATATATATATATATATATATATATGTGGAACTTGTAGATATGTTTATGCATTATTTAATGGTAAAATTAGTATATGTTACATTATATGAAATGACCCCAATTTTTGTTCTTCCTTTAGTTACAGGTAAATTTAACCTGGTCGTTGTGTTAAATTATGTTTGAATATTTTATTGTAGTTATGAAAAGTTAATGTGTGTAGTGAACAGGTTTCTGTGTAGCTTAGCATCTGTTTGAAAATTATGTTCACATTGTATTGTTGCTGGCATGAATATGTTAATTTTGTTCAATATATGTGTGTGTATTAGCATGTATTTTTTAATTTTGTTCAATATATGTGTTGCACAACTAGAGTATTTTATTTTTGTTCAACATGAGTATGTTGATTAGCATGTGTTTATAATTGTTTTTCAATTTGTATGTATTAGAATGCTTGTGATACTTGTGTTCAACATGTGTGCCAGCATGAATATGTTCATTTTGTTCAACGTGTGTCATTAGTCACTGTTAAGTGTATGCCAGCATATCGATAGCCAAGTATTAAGTACTTTACTGCTTCCCTAAAGTGTTTTACTTATAAAAGTTGTGTAGTGTTTTTATGTGTTTTATAAAAGTTCTGTTTTGTTTTAATGTTGTTTTATTTTCTCTACACAAGTTATTAAGTTTTATTTGTTGTTTTATTTTCCTTTATTTTCCTTTATTTTTTTTTTGTGATTTTTTTATTAATCTTCAGATTTAGAATGAACAAAATTACGAAATTTGTAAATAAGTTTATATAATAGTGAATGAAAATTTATACAATTTTTTTTAAAGAAACTGTTCTTGCTTTAATCTTTCATAATATATATATATATATATATATATATATATATATATATATATATATATATATTCTGTATTTATTATTTTCTGGTTTAGGGCTTCTATCCCTCTAACTATTTTCTGGAGTTTTGGAGAACTCCTATTCCAATTAAGCCCTGATGCTAAGAAAATAGTTAGAGGGATAGAAGCCCTAAACCAGAAAATATAAATACAGAATATGCGGTCATATTCATTGAAACATGTTTGAAAGAAAACCTGCTGCCATATACACCAGTATATATATATATATATATATATATATATATATATATATATATATATATATATATATATATATATATATATATATATATATATATATATATATATATATATATATCCCCACCTACGTCAGACCAATACTGAGGTATGCAGCACTACTATCAAAGCAAGCATCAGGATATATAATTTTGAGGTTTCCCCTATGATGCTGGGATTCTCAGCCTCACATTATTTATAGAAAGAATTGTGGCCATGTGGAATTATAACAAGCCAGTTATAGGAACGAGAGGATTGTTATAGCGAATTATAGGAGCTAGAGGAGCATTGTTAGAGCGAATTGTGAAGGTTAGAGGGGATTGTTTAAGGGAATTGTGGAATGGTAAAGAGAATTTTGGAAGCTAACACTATCAAATTCAGGTTGACAATCTACAAGAAGGTTTGAAGACTTCTCTAGGGAACCTATAGCTGGAGGTCGGGAGCTGGAGCTCAACTCCTACATACATGTATATATAGACAGTACATTCACACTTTTGATATGTAATACACAATATGTGTGTGTGTGTGTGTTTTAACTGACTCCTCACCTTTTTTCTGCTGTCATATTTCCTACATATTTCTTCTATCACACACACACATCTCCGTAGCAGCTGTCTAACTCCCAGGTACCTATTTACTGCTAGGTAAACAGGGCATCAGGGAAGAGAAACTGTCCATTTGTTTCTGCCTCGACTGGGACTCGAACTCGGACCCTTAGGACTATGACCCCAGAGTGCTGTCCGCTCGGCTCTGTGTGTGTGTACTCACCTAGTTGTGCTTGCGGGGGTTGAGCTCTGGCTCTTTGGTCCCGCCTCTTAACTGTCAATCAACTGGTGTACAGGTTCCTGAGCCTATTGGGCTCTGTCACATCTACATTTGAAACTGTGTATGGAGTCAGCCTCCACCACATCACTGCCTAATGCATTCCATCTGTTAACTACTCTGACACTGAAACAGTTCTTTCTAACGTCCCTGTGGCTCATGTGGGTACTCAGCTTCCACCTGTGTACCCTTGTTCGTGTCCCACCCGTGCTAAAGTGTTTGTCTTTGTCCACACTGCCACCCTATGTGTGTGTGTGTGTGTGTGTGTGTGTGTGTGTGTAAGAGAGTGCTGGACTACCAAGAGGAGCGATGAACCTCAGCCAAAGCAAGATTCCTACTCAGTGTGATGTCAGTGTAGAGATGTTAGCATCACCCGCCACTGTAGGGGAGACGAGGAGATGCAGGCAGCATCCCCCATCCCCCCACCCCCACCCCCCCACCCCCACCCCCTCCCCCCACAGTAGGGGAAGAGAGAGGGGGGGATACCTCCAGCTTAAGAGGGAGGCGGGGCTGGAAGTGCACTACCCCCAGCTGGAGAGAGAGGGTAAGCTAGACCATTACGGGCTCACCATAGCCCGTGCTGCTTGGAACTTGTTCCGAGTAGCTGAATCTATAATAACAACAGCTGGAATCAGCATGATTGAATGCTACCCATCATACAGAAAGAATATATCATAATCATATCATTTGGAAACACTGAAATATGCCCTTATTAATGTCTTGTGTGATATTAAATTAACATTGATTTTTATTAATTATTTTTTACATCCCTCTAATTGGACGTTAAAGTATGTTAAGTAATACAGGAACATACACACCATACTAGCTACTTATAATTGTATAACTGAGATCCTTGTAGTAAGGGTTTTTAATTTATAATATTCAGTTTTCACAAAGATATTATATCACATGTTGATAAATACAAACATGTCACTAATTATATACGAAGGAGATAGGGAAGTCCTTGTTGGACTTCCTGTGCAGTAAGGAAGATTTTGCTGATCCTTGCAGTGAATTGTAAGAAGGTTAGGTTAGGTCCCGCTGTGGGAGTGTGAGAATTTCTTCACACTCTTGGCTGTAGGAGTGTGAGGTCCTAATTGATCTGGCAGTGTGAGAAATGCTACCTAGTTTGGTAGTGGAGGTATGGGAAGCCCCCGACCAGGTCTGCTTCTGGGAGTGTGGTAGTGTCCTACCAGTTTAGGCTATGGTAGTATGCTAAGCCCATACCTCCAATAGGCTGGCTAGGCGCTCCTGTGGGATCTTCCTTAGCGCGGACTGGTTGCATATGGTCGGCCGACTGCGGGAAATCCTTGAACAAACTGTCTACCGCCGCTATACAAGCGCCTCACGGTATATGACGGCTGTTCCCGACTGTCTAACGATCGAAACTAAATACCGTGGTGCTGTATCTTGCTGGGAGAGACAGTCTTCACTCGTTCCGTCATTCTAAACGAAATTTCAATAATAAAAACTAATTTAAATTTGCTAGTTGCTTTTATTATATCTACTTCAGCTGACGGCTCATTGTCATTCACTCTCCGGGTTGACAGCTTGTAACATAACATTTTCTGAGTATTATTATAATTATTAATATTTTAGTTATAATAAAAATAATAAAAATCATATTTGTTTTCAAACAGCTGACTGAGGCTTTTAGAGTTATTTTTAGCATAAATAACTGCACAGTCGAACTATTATTATTATTATTATATATATATATATATATATATATATATATATATATATATATATATATGCAAACAAGCCTGAATGGTCCCCAGGACTATATGTCAATATAGTCATATTATATATGACTATAGAGTCATATATATATATATATATATATATATATATATATATATATATATATATATATATATATATATATATATTAGTTAAAAAAAATTGCCGCTGAAAACTTTTCCACAGAACTAGAAATCGTGAATGATAAAGCTAAATATCAGATTATTATAAGTTCGACTTTTGTGGAGAATAAAGTATATAAACTAAAGTATATAAACTAAAGTATATAAACAAAAGTATATAAACTAAAGTATATAAACTTAAAGTATACTTTAATACCAGTATAGTTAATAAAAATAATAACATTGTAGATGTTGGTTGCTGTAAAACACAATATACATAGTACTGTGAAGAAGCTGTATACATAGTACTGTGAAGATGCTGTATACATAGTACTGTGAAGATGCTGTATACATAGTACTGTGAAGATGCTGTATACATAGTACTGTGAAGATGCTGTATACATAGTACTGTGAAGATGCTGTATACATAGTACTGTGAAGATGCTGTATACATAGTACTGTGAAGATGTTGTATACATAGTACTGTGAAGATGCTGTATACATAGTACTGTGAAGATGCTGTATACATAGTACTGTGAAGATGCGTATACATAGTACTGTGAAGATGCTGTATACATAGTACTGTGAAGATGCTGTATACATAGTACTGTGAAGATGCGTATACATAGTACTGTGAAGATGTTGTATACATAGTACTGTGAAGATGTTGTATACATAGTACTGTGAAGATGCTGTATACATAATACTGTGAAGATGTTGTATACATAGTACTGTGAAGATGCTGTATACATAGTACTGTGAAGATGCTGTATACATAGTACTGTGAAGATGCGTATACATAGTACTGTGAAGATGCGTATACATAGTACTGTGAAGATGCTGTATACATAATACTGTGAAGATGCGTATACATAGTACTGTGAAGATGCTGTATACATAATACTGTGAAGATGCGTATACATAGTACTGTGAAGATGCGTATACATAGTACTGTGAAGATGCTGTATACATAGTACTGTGAAGATGCTGTATACATAGTACTGTGAAGATGTTGTATACATAGTACTGTGAAGATGCTGTATACATAATACTGTGAAGATGCTGTATACATAGTACTGTGAAGATGCGTATACATAGCAGCATATATCTCAGCGCCTGTAGCAGCATTATTAATACAGCAAATATTACATGCAAGAAAAATGCCTAACCGAATACATTACAAGCGACCGAAAAAGTAATAAAAGTCTTTATTAATAACATAATACCAGAGGTTGTAATTGTTGTAATGACAGCAGTAATGGTTGTATTTGGAATACAATTATTAGTAGGATTGGTAATAGGATACTACGCTAATGTATTTGAGTATTTTATGAAAAGATTGATCACCTGATTGGTAACGACGGATTAGTAGTTATAATTGTGGTGATACTTGTAGGGGTGGAGTTGTAGTTGCAGCCATGCTGGAGGCAGTTGTAGCCATGCTGGAAGCAGTTGTAGCGATGCTGGAGGCAGTTGTAGCCATGCTGGAAGCAGTTGTAGCCATGCTGGAAACAGTTGTAGAGATGCTGGAAACAGTTGTAGCCATGCTGGAAACAGTTGTAGCCATGCTGGAAGCAGTTGTAGAGATGCTGGAAACAGTTGTAGCCATGCTGGAAACAGTTGTAGCCATGCTGGAAACAGTTGTAGCCATGCTAGAAGGAGTTGTAGCGATGCTGGAAGCAGTTGTAGCCATGCTAGAAACAGTTGTAGCGATGCTGGAAGCAGTTGTTGCCATGCTGGAAGCAGTTGTAGCCATGCTGGAAACAGTTGTAGCGATGCTGGAAGCAGTTGTAGCCATGCTGGAAGCAGTTGTAGCCATGCTGGAAACAGTTGTAGCGATGCTGGAAGCAGTTGTTGCCATGCTGGAAGCAGTTGTAGCCATGCTGGAAGCAGTTGTAGCCATGCTGGAAGCAGTTGTAGCCATGCTAGAAACAGTTGTAGCGATGCTGGAAGCAGTTGTTGCCATGCTGGAAGCAGTTGTAGCCATGCTGGAAACAGTTGTAGCGATGCTGGAAGCAGTTGTTGCCATGCTGGAAGCAGTTGTAGCCATGCTGGAAGCAGTTGTAGCCATGCTGGAAGCAGTTGTAGCCATGCTGGAAGCAGTTGTAGCCATGCTGGAAGCAGTTGTAGCCATGCTGGAAGCAGTTGTAGCCATGCTGGAAGCAGTTGTTGCCATGCTGGAAGCAGTTGTAGCCATGCTGGAAGCAGTTGTAGCCATGCTGGAATCAGTTGTAGCCATGCTGGAAGCAGTTGTTGCCATGCTGGAAGCAGTTGTAGCCATGCTGGAAGCAGTTGTAGCCATGCTGGAAACAGTTGTAGCCATGCTGGAAGCAGTTGTTGCCATGCTGGAAGCAGTTGTAGCCATGCTGGAAGCAGTTGTAGCCATGCTGGAAGCAGTTGTAGCCATGCTGGAAGCAGTTGTAGCCATGCTGGAAGCAGTTGTAGCCATGCTGGAAACAGTTGTAGCCATGCTGGAAACAGTTGTAGCCATGCTGGAAACAGTTGTAGCCATGCTGGAAACAGTTGTAGCCATGCTGGAAACAGTTGTAGCCATGCTGGAAACAGTTGTAGCCATGCTGGAAACAGTTGTAGCGATGCTGGAAACAGTTGTAGCCGTGCTGGAAACAGTTGTAGCCATGCTGGAAACAGTTGTAGCCATGCTGGAAACAGTTGTAGCCATGCTGGAAACAGTTGTAGCCATGCTGGAAACAGTTGTAGCCATGCTGGAAACAGTTGTAGCCATGCTGGAAACAGTTGTAGCAAGAGAAATATGGGTTAGTGTGGTGTGATTATTATTAAATGTACATTTTTTTTTATTAAATACTTGTAGTAATAAAAGTAATAATGGGAGTAATTATCGTCGTAGTTGCTGAAGAAGTGAGAGATGAGGGAAAGAGATGTAGAGAAGGTGAGAGATGAGAGAAAGTACAACACTGGTAGATTTAGAAAGTCTACTACTAGTAGATATTTAGATATCTACTACTATTAGATATTTAGATATCTACTACTAGTAGACATTAAGATATCTACTACTAGTAGATATTCAGATATCTACTACTAGTAGACATTTAAATATCGACTACTAGTAGACATTTAGATATCTACTACTATTAGATATTTAGATATCTACTACTAGTTGATATTTAGATATCTACTAGTAGATATTTAGATATCTACTACTAGTAGATATTTAGATATCTACTACTAGTAGATATTTAGATATCTACTACAAGCTCTCGGTGCAAGAACAAAAAAGTTTGTTAGGCAAATTAATTTGTTTGTTTAATTGTTCCCGTTAGAGCAAGTACAGACTGTAATGATAGCATCAGTAGTGGTAGTTGGTGCTCAGTACTCAGTACTCAAATGGGCAAAGTGTCTTTCACCCTGATGTCTCTGTTCACCCAGCAGTAAATAGGTGCCTGGGAGTTTGACTGCTGCTACGGGCTGCTTCCTGGGGATGTGTGTAACATGAAGGAGGCCTGGTCGAGGACCGGGCCGCGGGGACGCTAAGCCCCGAAATCATCTCAAGATAACCTCATGATAACGTATTATACACAGAGCATAAACAAGCACTTACGAGCCTGGGGCCACATTCACGAAGCAGTTACGCAAGCACTTACGAGCCTGGGGCCACATTCACGAAGCAGTTACGCAAGCACTTACGAGCCTGGGGCCAGATTCACGAAGCAGTTACGCAAGCACTTACGAGCCTGGGGCCAGATTCACGAAGCAGTTACGTAAGCACTTACGAGCCTGGGGCCAGATTCACGAAGCAGTTACGCAAGCACTTACGAGCCTGGGGCCAGATTCACGAAGCAGTTACGCAAGCACTTACGAACCTGGGGCCAGATTCACGAAGCAGTTACGCAAGCACTTACGAACCTGGGGCCAGATTCACGAAGCAGTTACGCAAGCACTTACGAACCTGTACATCTTTTCTCAATCTTTGGCGGCTTTGTTTACAATTATTAAACAGTTAATGAGCTCCGAAGCACCAGGAGGCTGTTTATAACAATAACAACAGTTGATTGGCAAGTTTTCATGCTTGTAAACTGCTTAATAAATGTAACCAAAGCCGTCAAAGATTGTGGAAAGATGTACACGTTCGTAAGTACTTGCGTAACTGCTTCGTGAATCTGGCCCCAGGTTCGTAAGTGCTTGCGTAACTGCTTCGTGAATGTGGCCCCAGGTTCGAAAGTGCTTGCGTAACTACTTCGTGAATCGTACCCCTAGTCTATAGAATCCTTGCTGGTCGGTCAGTAAGATATCGTGGCCGTCTTAACCACTGATTTACCCGTCCTTAAAGCACGTCATAATTTGACGTACGCGTTTCTTAAGGCTAAAAACAAATGTGCAAGAAAATGGTAGCGGCTAAAATGGATTAAGTCTCGTTTTCTGTTTGTGGGTCATCTGGTAGGTTAAGTTCGGGCACTTAAGTACGATAAGCACAAGCAATGATTATCTACGTCCAGGGTGATCCCAGACACTCTTAATCGACTCCGCCACGACATGGTTAAAAGAATTGTAACCTGGAGTGCAATAGTCGACTAAGGCAGCGTCTGGGATCAGCCCGGACGTAGGTTCGAACCCTCATTACGGCCCTTGTGGATTTGTGCATTGTTTACCTCCTCTGCCAGAGGCATGATGCTCACCTACTTCGCCTTAGCCTTGTTAACAAATGCTTCAAGTTATTTCTGCCTACCTTCATAGGCTTCAATTTATCTCTGCCTATCTCCATAGGCTTCAAATTATCTCTGCCTACGTCCATAGGCTTCAAACTATCTCTGCCTATCTCCATAGGCTTCAAATTATCTCTGCCTATCCCCATAGGCTTCAAATTATCTCTGCCTATTCCCATAGGCTTCAAATTATCTCTGCCTATCTCCATAGGCTTCAAATTATCTCTGCCTATTCCCATAGGCTTCAAATTATCTCTGCCTACGTCCATAGGCTTCAAATTATCTCTGCCTACGTCCATAGGCTTCAAATTATCTCTGCCTATCTCCATAGGCTTCAAATTATCTCTGCCTACCTCCTTAATTTAACAACTAAATCAAACAATAATTGATAAAGAATTTGATAATGGAGACAAAATGCAATAACACTAATAAATATTGACCCCAAAATTATTTCAGTTCGAGGTATATTTGTACTCACCTAATACAGGTGACTGTATTCTGTGACTGTGACTGTATTTGTGTAACTGTATTCAACAATATTTTCATATTAATTAAGCAATGAATCTGAGAATTAATATACACGAGAGCTGAAAACCTGGTCAACTAGGAGCTGTGATGTTCATGTTTGTTCACATCACACGGGATACAGAACACATTGGCTTTTGTTTCAATGGCCTGGCGCTCAAAAGGCATAAAGGTAAGGAAATGGAACTCACCTGAACGGGTGAAAAGGCCACCTGAACACCTCTCTCTATCTCTACTAATTACGGCGGCTGCGTACGCTCCCGTGACGCCAAAGTTATCCCTTGAGCGTCAAGGCCTTGTCATCAGAGTCCCACTTAGAGTCATCGTCGTCAGCTCTCGGCAAACTTTCTGTGAAAGGTGAAGCCGCAACCCTGAATTACCTTACTTGAGATAACAAATTATGATAACTGATTCAAGAAAGTGATCGGGAGACACCGGGGTAGACGGGTCTTCAAAATAAGTGTGCTTATTAAAGACGATAATCACAGTTATTATCGCAGTTATTGGTCGTGATTGTGGGTAATTAGTGTCGTTGATGAGTAGGTTCAGAGGCCAGATTGTACCTACAATCGCTTGTGTGCGCGTTTTCTGTGCTTTTGGTGATCTTGTTATCATTTTTGTAATGCTTTATAAGGGGTTGTTAGCTGTGGTTGTTCATTTATTAGGTACTTGTGATCCCTTACAATGATCTTTGTTCAGTCTGTGTCGACACTTTTTTAACGGGGTCTAGGATTGAGGTTCCTTATGCAACGGGAAGATAAGGGCTACTATCGGATATCAGATCATTTGAAGCCTAAACCCAGATACTGATTTGTTTAATGAGCTCTCTCTCTCTCTCTCTCTCTCTCTCTCTCTCTCTCTCTCTCTCTCTCTCTCTCTCTCTCTCTCTCTCTCTCTCTCTCTCTCTCTCTCTCTCTCTCTCTCTCTCTCTCTCTCTCTCTCTCTCTCTCTCTCTCTCTCTCTCTCTCTCTCTCTCTCTCTCTCTCTCTCTCTCTCTCTCTCTCTCTCTCTCTCTCTCTCTCTCTCTCTCTGGAAGAATGCACATTCCGTAACAGAGGGCGTGGATTAGATCAAATTATATACATAAAAACTTAAAATTTGGCGCTTAAAATTACACTCTTATCGGCAAAGATATAATTATATTAGTTACATCAATTAGTGTAGCTTTGCAACATTTTAGCCAATGGGTTATCAACATTTTTCTGTTCAACAAAAATGTTGTATTGGATCCCTCGAGCTCATGAAGCAGGAAGCCTCTGAACACGTGGTTGAAATGCTCCAATTCTTGAGTTTCCGTTGAACCTGAAGAGGCACAATCGCTTCTGAAGCCCACTTGAGGTTCGTTGGGGGAGGCGGGGGGACCAGCAAGTGTCTCTGGACCCTTTCCCAGGAGGTGGAATAGGTTCTGTGTTGTAGAACGAGGCTGAGAAGATGGATCTTGATGTCCCCTTTCCTAGTCCTTTCCCTTCAAACTCGGAGAAATTCAGCTTGTGTCTCTCTCTCTCGGGGTAAAAAGCCTCTCTCCACGCCATGTACCCGGCTCCTGGCTCCTCTAATTTAACCCCAAAGCTGGTGTTTTCTTGCTAACTAGACCTGGTGCGCCTTCGCCCACTCCTCGACCACCTCTAAGAAAAGAAAAAGAGGAGTCTCTTGAGCGGTTCTTGCTGTAGAGGACCAGCCCGCTCTGGTGCTCTCCTAGTTGTGCTTGTGGGGTTTGAGCTCTGGCTCTTTGGTCCTGTCTCTCAACAGGTGTACAGGTTCCTGAGCCTATTGGGCTCTATCATATCTACACTTGAAACTGTGTATGGCGTCAGCCTCCACCACATCACTGCCTAATGCATTCCATTTGTCAACCACTCTGACACTGAAAAAGTTCTTTCTAATATCTCTGGTGGTGGTGGCGATGCTTGTTGGGGGTTGATGGTTGTTGAAGTGATGGGTGTTGTTGTAGTGATGGTAGCTGTTGTTAAAGATTCGCTACTTGGAACTAAATGTCCCAAGTAGCACGGGCTATGGTGAGCCCGTAGTATGGTGGTAGTTGCCGTGGCTGTAATAGCTAGCCGTGTGGGTTGACCCCTCACCATTACAACCCCTCCCTCTCTGTCAATCACGTCGGGTCGCTAATCCACAATTACCGAATAAATATTTCTCGTGATTTAACATTTCCCATATCTTGGAAAATCCAAGAAATTTTATGAGAAAGAAGCAGAATATTTTGCACATTTTATATCACACTGATTATACAAGAAGAATTGCAATCCAGGCCGTTGCAGATACGGTTTCTATCTGTGTTCGGATAGTTGTATTAATTGGATCCGGATGAAATATGCATGTCATGCTTGGGTGAAAACGTATATCGCAACACTCCGCTCACACTCAAACGAAATGGTTTATAATCCGAAATTTTTATACAATAATTCAAACACTGAATTAGTATTATGACCTAGGTAATGACATTGAAAATTTGAATGTGTAATGGAATGCTCGACGAATTGGTGACAAGACTGAGGCTGAATTTATATAATGTAAATAATTTATATAATTTCATGTTAAGATTATAGAAGGAAGGGCTGGCTATATAGTAACATGCTTACACACTTCTATACATCTTGTTCATAACATGTTATACTAAGGAAATCACTAAGAAAGGAAACATGATATATCAATAAGAAAATTGAAGCACCGAGGGGATTCGAACCTTCGAGCTTCTTTGGGAGTTCCGAGATCCACGATTCGAATCCGCTCATTCTTCCAATTGATTTTTTTTACCATTTTATGCATAGTTAAAAATGTTGAATCGAACCAAACACTCTAATAATAATCAAATATCATCAAGTACTCATCATCCACACAATTTTTGGATTCAAATGAATCCAAATTACAAAATATGATCATAGACAAATGTATTAAAAGAAAGCATGCATCATTAATTATTGAAACAATTAATTATTGACTTCTTAAAAATGACAGATAATTGGTGAACTAACATTACTAACATAGTGACGTTAGTTGACTATGCCAAGTGACGTTACCAGCTAATGTTTATATATATATATATATATTGTTAAATGCTAGGCTTTTCCAATGAGTACCAGAGTACCTTCCTGGTTTAGAAGGTTTTCTTCTGTGGTAGGCTGGTTATTCTCCTCCCACGTTCAGGGCTAGAGGGAGGTGGGTGTTAGTGATTAGCGTGGGTGTTAGTGATTAGCGTGGGTGTTAGTGATTAACGTGGGTGTCAGTGATTAGCGTGGGTGTCAGTGATTAGCGTGGGTGTTAGTGATTAGCGTGGGTGTTAGTGATTAGCGTGGGTGTCAGTGATTAGCGTGGGTGTTAGTGATTAGCGTGGGTGTTAGTGATTAGCGTGGGTGTCAGTGATTAGCGTGGGTGTTAGTGATTAGCGTGGGTGTTAGTGATTAGCGTGGGTGTCAGTGATTAGCGTGGGTGTCAGTGATTAGCGTGGGTGTCAGTGATTAGCGTGGGTGTTAGTGATTAGCGTGGATTTCAGCGATATATGTGAGGGCCAGAAGTGTATATTGGTGTCAGATATTACTGTGGGGTGTTATTTATTGTTGTGGGTGTCACATATTGCTGTGGGTGTCACATATTGCTGTGGGTGTCACATATTGCTGTGGGTGTCAGGTACACCTGAGAAAACAGACATTACTGTGGTAACCAGAGATTAACATGGGGGATCAGAAGTTAACATGGGTTTCACAGATTATCTTAGGGGTCAGAGATTAGCACGGGTGTCAGAGATTAGCATGGGTGTCAGAGATTAGCATGGGTGTCAGAGATTAGCAAGGGTGTCAAAGATTACCATGGGAGTTAAGGATTGTACAACCCACATATACATGCATTATAAAATACCATTCATTATAAATGTAATGAATGTGTATTAAACGTATATTAATTAATTGCTGATGTATTAAATATACATCAAATAAATGTACATGAGTTTTATACATATACCTAAATTATATACATTTATTTTAATTATATAAATATACAGGACTCAGAGATATATACACGGACGACGAACATATTGTATAGGAGCTAGATGTATACATAAGAATATACAGGAGCTATCATGTATACACCTTGGTGAACGAAAAGTACACAAGCCTTGAAGGTACTCGATATATATACATATACAGTATACATAAAATAACCTTGAACGTGACAGAGAGAGTACAAGAGAATTTCGAACAGGCGAGCCGTGAGCTCTGTATAAACTGTGTAGTGGAAATTAGTGTAGTTGTGTTCGAAATAAGCTTAATCTGGCTTCAGCTAGAGTTCGAATTAGGCTTCGTGTACGAATCAGGCACAGTGGAGCCTTGCTACAGTGTTCGAATCGAGCTTGGTCAGGGCCTTGGCTACAGTGTTCGAATCGAGCTTGGTCAGGGCCTTGGCTACAGTGTTCGAATCGAGCTTGGTCGGGGTCCTTGGCTACAGGGTTCGAATCTCACTTTGTGTCGTCTTCGTATCGTCTCTTCCATGACAAAAAAAGCTAGAAATACAAGATATAATTATGTTAATGAACTTAAAAATGATATGCGTTCGTTTTTATAAAAATGCGTTTAACAGCGTTCAAGAACAATACATACGTTATAAACGCTCTATAAGAGTGAACGCACTCTCAGCAATCTCCCCACATTCATATATTGTATACAATATAAAAAGATATATAGGTTAATTATCAAAAAACACTAAGCCAGTGACTAGGCTTCGCTTATAAATAATATAAACACATAATAGAACTGAGATCATTTTTTATCCCTATGCAATCAAATTGGTTATAAGAACATAAGAACAAAGGTAACTGCAGAAGGCCTATTGGCCCATACGAGGCAGCTCCTATCTATAACCACCCAATCATAAGAACAAAGGTAACTGCAGAAGGCCTATTGGCCCATACGAGGCAGCTCCTATCTATAACCACCCAATCATAAGAACAAAGGTAACTGCAGAAGGCCTATTGGCCCATACAAGGCAGCTCCTATCTATAACCACCCAATCCCAATCATCAATCCCACTCATCAATCCCACTCATCAATCCCACTCATAATCAAAATTAAATTAGCATAATCTAAAAAAAAAGAATTAAAAATGCAATGGTACTTAGCTCTGATCTGTTGTAAAATGTATATGTGAGCCGAGGCTTCTTATTGAATCTTTTTTTGTTCATATGTAATGAAGACTGATTCAAGCTTCATTCATTTACCTGTTGGAAGTTTAACATATTAACACATTGTATAAAATGAATTAGAATAATTATAAAGAAAATGCAGTTAATTGAACTGATTCATATAACCTATTGAACTGGTTCATATAACCTATTGAACTGGTTCATACAACCTATTGAACTGATTCATATAACCTATTGAACTGGTTCATATAACCTATTGAACTGGTTCATATAACCTATTGAACTGATTCATATAACCTATTGAACTGGTTCATATAACCTATTGAACTGGTTCATATAACCTATTGAACTGATTCATATAACCTATTGAACTGGTTCATATAACCTATTGAACTGGTTCATATAACCTATTGAACGGTTCATATAACCTATTGAACTGATTCATATAACCTATTGAACTGGTTCATATAACCTATTGAACTGGTTCATATAACCTATTGAACTGGTTCATATAACCTATTGAACTGATTCATATAACCTATTGAACTGGTTCATATAACCTATTGAACTGGTTTATGTAACCTATTGAACTGGTTCATATAACGTATTGAACTGGTTCATATAACCTATTGAACTGGTTCATATAACCTATTGAACTGGTTCATATAACCTATTGAACTGATTCATATAACCTATTGAACTGATTCATATAACCTATTGAACTGGTTCAT